GGGGGGGGCTCTAGATAATGAGAATCAATGAGCTGAGTAGTTTTCTTATAATTTTCACACAGTGCAAGTGATATCCATGTATTTTTCCATGTAGTAAATGAAATCATATTGTTAAATACCACTAAAATTTGGAGAAAAGTTTCTATTATCATCACAAATTACAATTAAAATAACTTACCTGAAAGCACCATTGGTTTATCAAATTAAAAGTAAAGCTAAGAAAAAAGCTCTATTAAAACTTGCAAACCTTTGCCATGGCAGATGCAAGTTGTCGGTACAGCTGAATGTAAGCTGCTAATGTGTAAGGGCCATAAGTAGTTGAGGCACCTTCATATCTTTGAATCTGGAAAGTATCAAAAAGACATCAATTTTTTAATGGGTATTCTTAAATCTGAATATACTGTGAAAGTTTTCATTTTCTGCAACAAAATACAAATTGTATCGTATTTCAAGAAAAGCAGCAGCCAGATAGTTATTTGTGCCTCATGGAGTAACGCTATTTGAACTAGAGCATTAAAAAATCCACTCATATTTGCAAGATCTAAGAACCGACAGAACATTATCAGACTTTCTTAGGCAGACGTTTCTCTTGCGAGCTGTCTACAATTGCTCTTCTTTTGAAACAGAAGAAAACCAGAGCTGTGCATTATGGAGAAAGAAACTGAGTTTATTTTGTTGCTATAGCAAGAAAAAATGAGTAACTCAAATGTGTCACAACATAGTGAAATGAGGGCCTTGTCATATTTTGTTTGTTTTAGTAAGTGTTTTACAGCACTTGCTACACACATAGGTCATATAAGTTTTGAAGATTAGATGTTACTTAAGAATTAACATTTTTTTTTTTTTAAACGAAGAGAGAAAAGATATAAGGACGATAGATATTTCCTCTGAAAGAAAGAGCGAACCACACAAGAGCAATTGCAATCCACCCACTTTAACATACCTGGTACTCCTCATACGTGGTGATGTAATCAGCATACTCATTGCACAGACCCCCAATCACGGTGGATGTGTTTGCCGGGAATCCACCCTGAATAAGGATCTATAAAAGAGAAAAATACAACACAACAATAAGTTTGCTTCTGTGCCCTTGATGAACCAAATTATTTTCCTCAAAACAAATTACTAGTATAATGTAGACCATTAAATTTTATAGCATCTACTCCCATGTGCACACAGCCAATGTGCTTTCCATAAGTACCAGTACAAATCCACAAATGAAAAATAATTGAAAAAAAATAATCTTTGCCCGTATCCACCCACTGAAGATTATTAATATTAACACATCAGGATTAACAAGATTCTTAAAACATTTTTCAACAGTGAAACATTTATTTTCTAACTTTGTAATTTGTCTAAACATTTTTTTAAAAATGTTCAAAACATATGTGAGGCATCGTGGTGAATCATGTGCTCGTCAAAATAATAAAAGAAAAGAAAAAGGCATTTTTCCACCAGTTTGGCAATTTTTATCGAAAACTTGATTTTTGGCTAAACGTCTTTTATGTTCATATGAAAACACATTTCCATGTGAATTTTATTGAAACACCTGAGGCACAAAATATGTAATTTTCAGTTTTGAAGGACTCAAACTTTGGCGGCCATTTTCTCATTAATTTAACCCTAGAAGCGCTCAGCGTTTCACCGGAAGTAACCCGCCAAAAATGCCCCGCCGCCACGGCCGATCAGTTGTAAACATGGGGGTTTGGCGGGGGGGGGGAAACAGCTGAGATACCCGAAATGTATACCTGCTACTGAAAAATGACCATTTACGGCTCAACGGATGATAAAAAGCATATAAAAGCATATATTTTCTTTAAGCTGATAGAATGAGCCATTCAAAAATGATCAGCGATCAAATAAATACAAACAATGCCGAGAACGCGATAGACTCAACAATTAGTACATCAGCACGGCGAAACAAGTGATAACACATAGCGTGTAGTCGCTCAGCGGGACCGCGTCACTTTATCGATCGATATCTCGGCCAAGAGACGCTCTACGAGGTCAAGATAACTTGCAAAGTCATTGGTCACTATTTATAACTTTGGCCTGTAATTGACTACGTCATTTTCCATATAAGGAACACTGGAATTTTCCATTGAAAAGGGTCAGCGTCTATGCCCTTTATATAAGGCCTGCGCGCTTCCCGGTCGAAGTAGGTCAGCCCTATATATAGGGCGTGCGCGCTTCCCGGGTAGCCCGGCTCACGCCCTTTATATAGGGCCTGCGCGCTTCCAGGGTTAAACACTGAACCAGGCTACCCCACCTTCTTCAATCGCAAATATCTCAACTTCTATTCGAGCTAGAAGGATATTTTCCCCCCTGAAAGCAAGGCAAATGTAGAAGAAAGCTTTCAGATGATATCAATAACTATACATGCCCCAAAACTGAGGAGCGCCCGATTCCACCATGCCTTGGTACATATTAAGATTCAGTAAAATGTGACCTTTTGCCAATTTTCAATTTTATATTCTATCCAGAAGAACATAAGTTATGGCAATCTAAAAATTCACACCACAAAGCACTCACTGATGAAACAGCATCCCGCATTCTCCTGCCTGACATAGTGCTGAAAAGAGAAGCAAATAACAAGGTGACAATTTCATGGACATAAAGGTACTGACACATTTCAAAGTATTTCTTAAGTACTTTATTGGTCATTTTTATATTTGGTGACTATTCAGTTACAGTGGCTGTCAGTACTGGCTTGGGAAAATATTCCTATTGAAAATGCTAGTTACATAAACACCCCATGCCCCCCCCCCGCCATCCCACCACCTAGATAAAATATTTACTATACTAAAAAAGGAACAGGTCAGGTTAAGGGAAAAGTCCACCTGTCCACCTACTGCATAAATCTTAAAAACTTCACTTCTGCATGTATGCACACATGCACGCACTCATACACAAAATCAAAATACCCTGCCCCCCACTCCCCAAGATTGAGTTCGCTTGTTGGAGTAAGGCGTTATACATACCTGAACTCTCCAGGAACTGCGATGATGACAAACTGACCCAGACGCAGCAGCTGTGTGTCCACGATCTGTGGCTGCCATAAGTACGGTTTTGTGATCTATAGATGGGATATAGAGAAAAGTACAGACAATGAGGACTCATCTGTAATTATGATTAACTCTTTAACCCTATTCGTACGCCCTGGGGTCATTTTGTACCCCCAGGGTTGTGTATCATTTTAGAATACTTCTAGTACGAAGATCTCTTTGAAACTTTCAGTATTTCTCAAAAAATAATTTAGACAGACTACTATGCAAAGCGTACAGATCAGATTAACAAGTAAATTTTCTGTTTGAAGATGGTGGCACAAAGTTCGCCACATCTTATGGATACGATAATAAAACATGACGTACGGATAAGTTAAGGACATAGCAGACACATACGTCAGACAGCAGACCAAAAGCCATGTTGTGGCATATTTTGAACAAATTACGCAAATCAGAAACAAGGATTAATATTGACATATTTTATAGTTTATATGTTGTTGGATGCCTTTATGAGCTAAAGATAAAGAAAATTGAATTGGAAAATCTGAATGAATAGCAAATTATGCTTCTTTTTTAAATTGCCCTAAAACAGCGTGCCTTCAAGATGCCTTTAATCTTTTCGGTCCAAAAATAAATATGTAAATAGATAATACACAAAATAAAAGGACTATGTTAAAGTTAGAAATAAATTCTTCACGTAAAAACTTACTTCACCGGTAGGAAGTAGAATTGGCTTCGGTTCTTGGCATTTCACCAATTCTGGACTAGGATCTTCAATCAAATCTCTCACAAAATTCCAGAACGGGTTGCTTGTTGTTGTACCTGCAGATGGGAGGAAAATCCATGATGAAAGTGAACACTTAGCTCATTCGCTACGCCGAGCCATAGGCAGCAGAGCGGCGAAAGTGTCTTCCGTACGCCAAGCCATTCGCGACGGCTTGAGCACCGACCTATAATTCTAGCTTAGATTTTATTCCAATCCATGTATCCATGTTAAAATAAAGGTTATAATATAACATTGACTTCCGGGTCAAGCGTTTCCACAGAAAATCAGAAGTTTAGATTCAGTATTGAAACACAATTTCGTAGTTTATGCGACTTTTGATTTATCGCAATGCCCAAATTATTGCCCAGACATCAGTCTTAGTACTTTTACACAACAAACTGTATCTTTATTCTGCTCACTACAGAAATGTAGGACTCTTCTTTATAATATTGATACTATTGGACTTAAATTGCCAATGCACTGTTATTGAGAAATCAATATTTTTTAGCGCTGGATCTAGGTCTAAATCTAAATTGTCAAAATATTGTTTTTTCTCCCCCAAAATCACTACTTTTTGGTGAAATTACACAAAAAGTGCCACTCAAGACTTGTATAGGTTTATTCCAAATGCAATTCGGAATAATTCCATATAAGATACTATAGTGTTTTTTTCTGTTCGTGATCCTTTTTTTCAAGATTAATAATTTTTTAATTTTTTAAAAAATGTCGGATGTTATGATCCAAATGTACAAATTTCGTGGAATGTATGTAAATAACTGCAATTTTTTCAATATTTTCCTGTTCTACATTCATTTATGGTTATTTTGATGTATCATTTGACTAGGTACAAACCTATTTTTTCAGTTTCACCAAAGATTATTTATTTTTTATTTTCAAATTTTATCCGCATCCAATCAAAATTGTGTTGCATAATCGCCTCTTACATGAACCAAAGTTGAAAAATACACAAATAAACATTACAGATGTATTCTACAAACCATACTGAAAATTTTGGTATATAATATGTAGCTATTTATTTGAATTTGTGGCCCCAAAGACCTTTAAACTGCGCACTAATCATCATCTCACTTCGCCCTCCCAAAAAAAATTCGTCCACAAGCCGAAAATAATACATAGCGAATGAGTTAAATCACAATAAAAATTTACTTCACCCAGATTCATCTTAGTTCAATAATATTGACTGCTCAGTGTAAGGCCCTTAAATTGTTTAGTTTAGTTTTAGTAAGAGTTTTATGGCACTTGAAACACAATAAGGTAATATAAGTGCTGAAGATTAGAGGTGTTACTAGAGAGTAATATGCACAAAATAGGAGGGGAGATCAAAAAAAGAGATAGATTTTTTATTAGAAGAGCAAACCCCACCAGAGCTCCCGCCAACGACACACAGTATAAGACCCTGTCATATATCACTTTTCATAATATGGTGATAGCAGAGTCTTAAACAATGCAGTCAATATCAATTCCTCCATGGAAAAGGATATACAACGCATTTTTAAAATCAAGTGCAACACCCAGAAAGGAAATGTGGAACTACATATAGTCCTAGCGGAATGTCTTCTGTGTTGGTTGAATAAAGAGAAGCACATTGACACAATAACAGTCATTTAGTGATGGAAAGAGTAAGACAGACAGAAATAATAGGGAGAAGAAAAGAAATAGGATCTACCCGAGGCACGCTCCAACCACCTGTCATGAAGAGCCAAACTGTTACAACATAAAAACCAAAAGTCCAAGTCAAGCAGTAAAGTGGCAGTAAAATACAGCCTTGCTGCCAGTTCTATTTCCGACTCTGAATCTTGATGCCAGGTACTTAACCCTCATCTCCTCAGTTCACACTGCTACAATAGATCTTTGGCAATCAGAAGAGGCTGGATGAGATAGAAAGCAGTTTGCTTCTAATAAGCTGCAATGTTGTACATCTGTGTGAGGGAACAGCAGCAATACAGTAGAATGAACAGGCAGGTCAAGGAAGTTATTGAGAAGTGTTGTGAGAGCTTCAGGAGCATACATGACTATACATTTCTAGGGCTAATATAGTTCATTTTTAGTTTTAGTAGGAGTTTTGCAGCCCTTGCAACACAATTAGGTCATATAAGTACTGAAGATTAAAGGTGTTACTAGAGAATAACATACAAATAAAAGAAGAACGAGAGATAAGGGCAATAGATACTTGATAGGTAAGGAGCAAACTGCACCAGAGCACCTGCCAACCACCCACTCACCTTGTTTAAAGTCAAAGGCTCCTGGCCCATCAGTGGTTCCAGCGGCAAAACTGTAGCCCATAGAGGGCTTGCATGTTTGTACCTGGAAGGAAAGGAGAGGACGGAGCTTCTGAGAATGTGAGAAGAGGTGTGGGATGAGCACTTATGAGAATTCAAGTGACGAGAAATTCCAAAGGTTTTTAGCTTTAATTTCAGTAAAAGGTTTACGGCACTTGCAATTCAAGTAGGTCATAAAAGTGCGGAAGATTAGAGGTGTTGCTAGAGAGTAATGTACACAGAAAAGAAAGGGGGAGAGAAATAAGGACGATAGATGTTTGATAAGAAAGAAGAAACAAACCACACCAGAATGCTCGCTAACCACCCACAAAATAAGGTTTGAGTTCAAAGAGGAACTCAGTTACATCACGATTCACAGGCTATTTTGGGATGAGACAAAGCAAGACAGACTGACTAAAGCAAAAGAGACAGAGTAAAGAAATTGTTTCGATATAAAAAGAGCTTGTTGCCCTACAGAAAATGCTTTTCAAAGTTCTGGGTTCCATCACAAGTTCATGTGAGTACAGTCAGTTGACAACTGAGTCTTTGTTTGTTTTAGTAGAGGTTTTACGGTGCTCGCAACTGCATAAGGTCATATGAGCGCCAGAAGATTAGAGGTGTCACAAGAGAGTAACAAACATAAAAAAAGAAAAAGGGGAGATAAGGACGATATTTGTTTGATAGGAAAGAAAGAGCAAACCACACCAGAGCATCCGCCAACCACCCACACTGAGTCTTTGCTCAAGTATGAAGTCTATCTAGATAAAGTACAAACAAATCTGAGGCTCCTTGTATCTGATTCGTTAGGCCATGTGACTGCCTGAAAGCTAGTTAACCCTAGTAGTAGTAGTAGTATAAGGTTTTACGGCGCTCGCAACTGCTAAGGTCATATGAGCGCGCGAAACACAAGTTGTTCACCTCTGCGAAAGTTCACTTCACGACTGGTAACTAATTTACTTTAAAATGCTAAAAAGTTAAAATATTCAAATTCGGTGTAAATACATTTGTGATCTAAAACAACTTTTAAGTAACAATAAAAATTTTAAATAATATCAGATTCACTTTACAACTCGCCATAAAGGCCAATGGCCTTTATAAAATTTAAAATTCTGCTGGGAACAACGACGGAGAAAATATCCTGCAATTTCTTGCATTTATAATATTTCCTTCGGATCTCTCCAAAGTCTAGACATTCTGTTAAAATGTGTCTAATGGTAAAATCTGTGTCGCATCCGACACAGAACGGCTTCTCCTCTCCCTGTAGGAGGTATTTGTGAGTCAGGGCCGTGTGTCCGATGCGCAATCGAGTAAAAATGACTTCGTCTCTTCTGGAGAGATCCGAAGGATTTCGCTGTTCTAGTCTGGGTTTAATTTCATATAATTTATTATTTTTCTGGTTTTCCCAGTGGCTCTCCCACAGACTGGAGGTGTACTTTTTGACTTTATTTCTAAAGTCAGTCTGTGGGAGAGTGTTTGTCGTTGATCCCAGCAGAAGGGATGAGGCTTTCTTCGCCAGGTCGTCTACCTGCTCGTTTCCTCGAATGCCCACATGGCTTGGGATCCATGCGAACATGATGTTTTTTCCTGTTTCGGATAGTGTATGGATTTTCTGTTGTAGCCTAACTATTTTTGGGTGTAAGAGTGTGTAGTTTGTGAGTGAGGTGATGCAAGACAGAGAGTCAGAAAGGATAAGGAAAGATTTGTTAGGAGAATTTTCTACAGAGTCCAGTGCCATGTCAATGGCAGTGGCCTCCGCAGTGAAAATGGAGGCTTCAGGATGGAGTCTCCTCTGGTGTGTATTGTTGGGAGATAGGGCTGCGGCGCCCACTTCATTGTCTTTTTTGGAGCCATCCGTGAAGATGAGCTCCGCACCGGGGTATTTATCTATTAGTTTTTTGTATTCTGCTTGAAATGTTTTGGTGTTTGTGCTTTCTTTGTTGTGTGTGGTCAGCTGTAAATCTACTTTTGCCTTGGTGAGGTGCCACGGAGGGAGGTCGGGGAAAAGAATTTGTTGGATGTCTTGTTTGGAAAAGTGTAAGTTTTTGAGGTCCTCAAGGATTCTGAGGCCGAAAGGTTTGATGAGTTTTTCGTTGTTTTGGAATCTGTTTCTGGTTTCTGGATTTGTTTGAAAAATGCTGTTGTGCGCTGGATTTTCCGGTGTTGAGCTCTGTTTAACTGCGTATTGTAGTGAGAGTTGTGTGCGTCTGAGTGAGAGTGGTGGAATGTTGGCCTCGGCCTGGAGGCTCTCCACCGGAGAAGTGCGGAAAGCCCCCAGAGCGAGGCGGAGTCCTTGGTTCTGTATTGGATCTAGTATTTTTAAGACGTGTGGTTTTGCCGATCCGTAGACTTGACAGCCGTAGTCAAGCCTGGACCGGACAAGGGAGATGTACAAGTGGAGAAGGTGTTTTGAGTCCCCGCCCCACTCCGGATGTGATAGAATTTTCAAAGCGTTTAACGCTTTCTGGCACCTCACACGAAGGTCTTTGATGTGTGGTATGAATGTAAGTTTTTTGTCGAAAATGACACCGAGGAAACGAGCTTGGTCCTGGACGGGAATCCTTTCCCCGTATAGTGTCAAATCCGGCTGCAGCACACGTCTGCCTGTTCGGCAGAAGTGTACTGCAACCGTCTTTGACGGGGAGAACTTGAAACCGTTGTTGTTTGCCCACGTTTCAAGTTTTTGCAGCTGCGTTTGCAGCTGCCTTTCCATAGATCTCAAATGAGGATTTTTCGATCGGCAGCATATCAAGAAGTCGTCAACGTATAACGAGCTGTCTATGCTGTTCTGGAGGGTTTTCACTATGGAGTTAATTTTAATTTCGAAAAGGAGAGGAGAAAGGATGCTCCCCTGGGGGACTCCTTCCTCCTGTTGGTGGGGGTCTGAAAGGGAGGATCCGACACGAACCTGGAAGGAACGGTTCTTCAGGAAGTTGCCAATGAAGGCAGGGAGGTGACCGCGTATGCCGAGTGCGTGCAGGTCTCGAAGAATGCCGTACTTCCAGGTTGTGTCGAAGGCTTTTTCTAGGTCAAAAAAGATGGCGATCATGTGGCCTCTTTCGGCGAACGTCTCGCGTATAAAGGTCTCCAGGCGGACCAGGTGATCCAGAGTGGATCGAGTTTTCCTGAATCCGCACTGGAGACCGCTCAGCGAGCCCGTCGTTTCCAGAAACCACATGAGTCGCCTGTGAATCATTTTTTCAATCAGTTTGCAGAGACAGCTCGTTAGGGCTATAGGTCTGTAATTGGATGGGTGTGTGTGGTCTTTGTTAGGTTTGGGTATTGGAATGACAGTGGCGAGACGCCAAGACTCCGGAAAGGAGTGCGACCGCCACATGTCGTTGTATATGTGTAGTATGAGTGTGAGTGTTTCTGAGGGTAAGTGTCTAATGATCTTGTTGTGGATGTCATCCGGTCCCGGGGCTGTATCGCCCAGGTCCGAGATGCACGATGTTAATTCGTCTATTGTGAAGTCTGCGTTGTAGGTTTCAGTGTTGTTTGAGTGGAAGTTTAGGTGTTGTTTTTCTCTGTTAGTTTTGACGTTTTGAAAAGTGGTGTTGTAGTTTGCTTGGGATGAGTTTTTGGCTAAAGATGTAGCTATTGTGTTTGCAATGTCTACTTGTGTTTCAGCTGTTGTTCCATCCGGCCTCTGGACGTGCCGAATGGTGTCTGTGCGTCTACCTAAGAATTTTTTAGCAATTTGGAAAACTTGATTGAGTGGTGTCTGGCTGTTGATTTTGGAGATGTATTTTTGGAATGATTGTCTTTTGCTCTCCCTGAGGCATCTACGTGCCTCAGCTCGAGCCTTTAAATAAAGTATCTTATTTTCTATGGTGGTGTTGTTGACGGCTCTTCGATACGCCGCCTTCTTTTTCTTTACTGCTTCCTCACACTCCCAAGAGAACCAGATCTTGTTCCTCCGGGGTTTTGTTTTTGTTTTTGGAATGTGATTGTGGCATATTTCTAAGAGCTTTTCGTGAAATTTATTGTAGTTGTGGTCGAAATTGGGATTAAGAATCTTGGAACATTGATTTGCAAACCCGTCCCAGTCAGCTTTTTTGAAGTTGAAGCGTTCTGGGATCGGGTCGTTTTGGAGGCTATTGTTTTTGAGGAGAATTGGGAAATGGTCCGTACGGTCATCCAGCACAGACCACTCAAGATCTGGGACTAGTTCAGGGGTACAAAAAGTAAGGTCAAGGGATGAAGTGCCATAAGTGGCTCTGTTTCTGTAAGTTGGGGATTTATCATTTAAGAGACAGATGTTATTTTGAAATAAAAAGTTTTCTATTATTTTACCTTTCTGGTCTATAGGTTTGTCTCCCCAAAGGGGGCTGTGGGCATTGAAATCACCTAGTAAAATAAAGGGTTTTGGGAGCTGGGACTTTAATTCATTTAGTTGGGTTATTTTGAGGGGGTAATTTGGTGGGATGTAAACTGAGCAGATCGTGATTGGTCTGTGCAGGGTGACCCGTACGGCAATAGCCTGGAGGGTCGTCTTAAGGAGGAACTTGATCTGTGGGAGTGTGATGGTTGTCGGTGTAGATGGGGGTACCACCGGAAGCAATCTGGTTCTCCGTGTGAATGTGATGGTACGCAGTAAATCCTCTTAAGTCTATGGGTTGAAGCCGGGGCGAATTTTGTTTCTTGAAATACAGGGCCACCCGTGGGCACAGTGTGGCCTGTAAATGTTGCAATTTTCTGCAATGGAAGGTCGGATTCCGCCGGCATTCCCATTGCAGGACCGCCATTATGAATTTTTACTTTTTGATTTGGAGCACTTAGGCCCCGGCTTCGAAGAAGCACTCTGACTCCTCCTTACGGGGGGGAGGCAGAGTGTTTTTCTAGGTTTGCCCGTCCTTGGGATTTGGAACGGCGGGTCTAGTTGGGGGAATTTGGGAGGGAGTGGACAAGACTTCCCGCCCCCTTCCCGGGGGTTCAAGGCCCGGGGGAAGGGGGGGTCGGAAGATGTCCTTTGTGGGGGGGAAACGTCAATGCTTGGTCTTGCTTGGAAGGGGTTTGGGGGGAAGGTTGGAAGCAAGAACCCGAGGGGGCTTGTGGGGAAAGGGGGGGGGGAGGGGGGCTGGGGGGAGGGGAGAAGGCCCACCTCACACTCCATCAGAGGGATGGGCTGTGAGGTGGAAGAAGAAGAAGAAGAAGAAGAAGAAGAAGAAGAAGAAGAAGAAGAAGAAGAAGAAGAAGAAGAAGAAGAAGAAATGATAGAAGAGGGGTGAGGGGGAGAAGAGGGGGCGGAGGAAGAGTCCTCCCTGTCCTCCCCTAGAACCCCATAGCTGTTAGAGAGTGGCACCTCAAAGGGGGGTGCCACAGGGATAGTAGCGGGCTTTTTATTTCTGGTGTTCTTTGGCACAGAGACTTGCCTGTTGACCGCGGGCTTTGGGAGGTCGGTAGTAGAATTACTTGCCGACCTCATGACCATCTGGGTTGCCATTGAATATGACCGGCCAATGACTGGGGTTGTGATTGGCGGGCAGACAACCTTACGGGCCTCCTGGAAGGAGCAGCCATTTCGCGCCTTGTATTCTTGGATGGCGCGTTCTTGGAGCCAAGTCGGGCACTCCTTGCTGAAAGCTGTGTGCTGGCCGTGGCAATTGGGGCAACAAGGACTAGCCTTGCATTCCTTCTCAGGATGCCCGGTCTTGCCACAACGAGGACACACGGCTGCGTGACGGCATCGTGACTGGCTATGGCCGAACTTCTGACACTTGAAACAGCGCAGAGGGTTCGGCACATAGGGTCGTACGTCGAGTACCAAGTAAGATGCCCGAACGGTGGCTGGAGGGCGACACGATTCGAATGTTAGGACAATCGTGTTCGTCTCGATAGTAGTCTCCCCCCGCCGAAGAGTAATCCGGCGGGCTTCGACCACTCCCTCACAGTGCTCCACAATCTCTTCCATGGAGCAGCCTTTCAGCTCATGGCTGCGGACCACGCCCTTCGAGCGGTTAAATTTTTGGTAGTGCTCTGACTTACATTGAATACCGCCGAAGGTCGTGGTATCCAGGAGTTTGGTCACTTCTATCTCGGTTGCGCACTTGACAAGGAGTGCACCACAGGAAAGCTTCTGTACACATGTGGGAATGTATCCCAGAACTTTCCGTAGTGCATCTCCTGTCTTAAAGAGGTTGAGATCGGTAATTCTTCTCTGTGCGTCTTTGGTACTGGAGATGGCCACGTACGGTTGCCTCAGAAGCTCCTTGGGAGGAGGGAGGAAAGAGGCATCGGTAAAGGTCCTTTTACCTTTTTTTGAGTTTTTGCTCGGCTCGGCGGCCGCACCCGCTTCCGCGAGCCGAGACTTTTTAACGTTGGGAGCTGGGGAAGGGTCTTTTTGTTTTTTGGAATCCATGAAAGTTTTCTATTTGATTCGACTCCGGGGCTCCCCGCCCGCCACGGAGCCCAACAAGGGGACACATAGCTCGGATATCCAGAGCTGTGCCAGGGCTACCCCGGAGCTATACTCTCAACGAGAAAGTACGAGACCCTCCCGTCAAGATTGACCCAGGACTTGATGGGGTTTCAGCTCTCAACCGATTGAGTGGCATGGGCCGTGCCACCCTCCCGTCTAAGAGGAAAACCTGGGCCAAAGAGGTGTGTTGGTGAGGGACAGTCCGTGGACTGATCTCACCTCAACCGCCAGGTACCCGGTTTCCCTCCGCACGGGTCGCACCTCACGGTCAACGAGGCGCCCACTCTGTGGGATGGGTGACCTCTCTTTTTTCTGCACTTGAGGTCAGCGGTGGGAGGAAAGATAGAAGAAGAAAGAAAGAAGGAAGGAGAAGAGGAGGATACACCAAAGTAAGTGTCGCACACGGATCCCAGAGGGTTGGGGTCCGTGTGCGACACTCCGCCTTTGAAGGGGTTGCACCTTCTGCAGACGAAGCAGTGGGTCTATTTATATCCCCCCGACCCACTGGGGGTCTAGTTAACCCTATCCGTATGTTGTGTTTTACTATCTTATCCATACGACGTGGGGAACTCTGTGCCATCACTTTCAAAAAGGAAATTTACTCGTTAATCCGATCCGTACGCTTTGCATAGCAGTCTGTCAAAATGATTTTTTGAGAAATAACTGAAAGTTTCAAAGAGATCTTCGTACTAAAAGTATTCTAAAATGAGAAGAATACAACCCCGGGGTACAAAATGACCCCAGGGCGTACGGATAGGGTTAAATATGAACTGCATTGTGATTTGGACCCATTCATACAATGAATGAAGAAGAAAAGAAGAAGGGCCCCCCCCAAAAAAAAACAACAAGCAAAAGGCAGGAATCAATATATATGTTTACGAAAACAGTATTTCTATTCCTTCAAAAAATTGTTATGATATCAAAAATTGAAAACAGCGAACTAAAAAACAGTGACAAGTTTCATATTATATTTACAAGATTGTATAACGTATCCATAAAGGCCGAGGACCAGCATACTTTATAAAACTAAGGTTACCACAGCATAAAGACTTTTCAAGTTACCTTTGACCCGTTTGATAAACTGACATTCTGAATTGTCATGTCAGCAAAGCTGTGTCTGAAATCCACGGGTCCGCTCAGTTTAAATGAAGCTGAATTGTACAATTCCTGAAATGCATGAGAACAAATATTTGGTTTTAGTTTTTTGAGTTTTAGTAAAGAGACGCATATCGAAACAATAATAGTCATATAGTGCAGGGAAGAAGCAAGACAGATTGAAGGAAAGAAAAGAGAAAACGAAATGAAGTAGGACCTGCCAGTGGCACCCTCAAACCACTCGCAAAAATTTTGAGATAAAAGGGGAAAATGCAGATGACCACAAAACCACGGAATTTTGTATTCTATATAAAACGGATTATTGTGATGCAAGCGGATATACACCGGTGTCTGTGGTGTAGTGGGTAGGTGCTTTGCTGTCACACACAGAAGGACCTGAGTTCCTTTCCCCTGTGGAGGAGAATTTTTATAGAGTATTTCGGCCTTTCTACTCAGACGATGTATCCTTCTCAGTTCCGTTTGGCCCTGATAGGCTCACCTTCTGAAGTTTCAATATTGTGGTGATCATCTAAATAAGTGGCTTAAAAATTCAAAAATAGGAATGCATGAAACAACGACATGAAACTTGAACTGAAATGGTTTTTGATAGTCTTCCTTTGAGAGATGGCCCATCGGATCTGTGCCCCAAATCCTCAACATAACTAAGAGTTGGAAAATTTGTGGGTAGCATAGAACCAAAAATCCCACAAAATAGTAACGTCACTTAAAAGATACAAACGCCACAAACACTCACCACAGCCTTCTTGAACTGGTTGTTGCCAATAATCTGTGTGCTCTCAAACATGTCCTTACCAGGTCCGAATGCGACACAGAGTTCATTCTGCAAATATGTGGAAATAACAAGAACAAGAATTCTTTTAAAGATACATATCTTTAATACTGATAAATACATCTGTATAGTCAAACACCCATGGCATGTTACATCATAATACATACATACATACATTCACAAGTTACAGTATATTGTCAAAACTGCTCTAACGTCCATCAACATAAGACAATCGTCTTTACACATGGCCACTTCCAATTTCTTCCCTTGCACATGTTTTGTACATTATAGTGCCATTATGTTAGATGACCACCAGTCTAAGAGGCCATCTTCTTCCTTGACAATGAGAGGCCATCATAGACAATTTCGACTGTATAATGTAGTATATGATATAGCACCACTCCGTAATCAACAAACAGACTATTACTGGTTACGCAGAATGAAACAGTCAGTCAGTTTGTGTTTGTGAGAATTTCTGGCCTACTTCTAGAACCATCTGGGTTGAAAAATACTATTACTGGTTACGCAGAATGAAACAGTCAGTCAGCTTGTGTTTGTGTGAATTTCTGGACTACTTCTAGAACCATCTGGGTTGCTTCAAAACAAGTAGTGCTGGTAGCTCTAGATGTTTGTCCAATGAAATTAAGTATATGAAATAAAACTTTGTCAAACAGTAGTCTCTGCCTAAGATCCCAGTGCTTGGTAGCATGGAAAAATATTAATGCTGGATCTTAACTCTTTAAACTCTTGAGTTTTTTCCCCAGTTTCCCAGAGTTTTTTCTACAGTTATCAAGACCAAGTGCACTGTGTCTCATTATAACCCCCAAAACTTGGTTCCAACATCTAAATGGCAGAAAAAAAAGGCTTATGTCATTACTAAAAAACTTGGTTCTGGAATAGTTCCGAAAAACAGACACAAACTAGAGCTAAATTAAATGAAACAGTTGTTACTAGTATCAGCGATGGGGAACAGGGTTATTACCGCCGGACACTCACAAAGTCCGATGGGGTTTAAAGAGTTAAGTGAATGGGATCTTAGCCGATGCACCAAGGGGACAGTCCACCATGACTCATGTTCAGGCCCACAATTGGTGAAATGATCCTACCTTACTCTGAATTGTACTGATTTAAGATGAGCAAAGAGTGGTCAACTTCGAAGACCAATCACAATGGTGTGAGGCATGCCATTTTCACTTATCCAATTGAGGGTCTTGAAGATCCACACTGGTCCTATATGGCTCCTCCCCTTTACCTGACCAAAATTTACAGCTTTCATCAATCTCTGACCAAGTTTCCCCGTGTCTGTCGTAATGCATCATTGTGTTGTGACTGTACCAATTAAAATTCAGCCCTTCTAGCAAATTTGGGTGAACCGAGATCGCAAATGGTGGGATCTAAGGCAGAAACTACTGTATTGAGGATACGGAACCAATATTTGGCAACCTGAAAAAAAAAAGACTTGGGCAATGACATTATGGGACCTCGACAAGGATCACGACAATATACTAGGTGCTGTTTCATCTTACTGTACATGTACATACCCTGTCGTTACATGTACTGGTGGGTACATCACATTCCTTGCCCGTATCTAAACAATGAGGGCCTCGTGTGTTGGGGGAGACATCTCCTTCATTGCTCTGGGCAAAAGCAGCAACAAAAGGACCCTGCCAAAGAAATAGATGCAAGACATATAGGTAAACACATTCTTGTGCAGAGGGGTCCTCTTTTCCTGTCTCATATTGCAAATCTTTTACATTTTTTCACAAGTTATTGATTAACAGAAAGTGGGTATCTAATAGTACTGTAATAAATGATTTCACTGGCAGAAAGCCACAGTGGTCCCATTATGGAAAAAAAAGGCAACAAACGCGACTGCACAACATACAGAGGCATCTCCCTATTAAGCCATGCAGGGAAAATATACGCAAAGATATTAGAACAGCGGATAAGACCTACTGTAGAGAGAAATCTGAGCAAAGCTCAGTTCGGATTCCGAAAGGGAAGAGGATGCACGGATGCTGTATTCGCATTACGACAGATATGCAAAAAAACAATCGAACACAACAAAGAATCCAAAATTGTCTTTAAAGACCAGGAGAAGGCTTTTGACAAAGTAAAACATGTAAAAATCAGGAACACACTCGAAAAGTATGGCGTCACAGGACAAATGTTAGATAACGTCAGAGCTCTATATATATATACTAGCAGAAGCTCAGTGAAAATGAAGGAAGGCAATACAGACTGGTTCAAAGTAAGATCTGGAGTACGACAGGGATGCGTTCCATCTCCCCTCCTGCTTATAATATATATGGACACAATAACGCAAGACACAAACCAAAGCCCAGAAAGCCTAAATGAACTTAAATTCTATTCGCAAACGACCAAGGTCTTATTCATCCAAACCAACAAAGCCTCCAAAATCACACTACCGATCTGAACAACAGCTGCAAGAAATTTAACATGAAAATAAGCACATCAAAAACAAAAGTTATGAAAGTGAACCGAAACCATAGTCCCCTGAACATCCATGTCAATAGTAAACAACTGAAACAGGTGAAGGAATTTAAATATCTTGGCAGCACTTTTTCTTGAAATGGGCCATAGACGGAGAAATAGGATTGCGAACTCAAAAAGCCAAGGCTGTCACCTACCAGCTCGCACCACTCCTATCTCATCCAGACATCTCCATGGACACAAAGAGACAGCTTATCATCTCAATATTCATACCAACATTATGTTACCAGTGCCAGACCTGGACATTTACGTAAAACCTATGAAAGCAAAATTACTGCATGCGAAATGAAATGTCTCTGTAAAAGCCCTCAGGCTATAAAGGAAGAGGAAGGCCACGCAAAAGGTGGATCGAGAGTGTCAAGGAAACCCTGAGAAAACAAAATATCACAACTGAAAGAGCTGTGGAGCTGGTCTACCATAGAAAACTGCATCTCTCCTTGATGCTTAACGGCAACAGAGGATGAAAAAGTAAAAGTTAAGTAAGTATCTGATTTCACAAGTTGCTATTTCTGTACTATAGGATCATCTGGCCATCACATACAGCAACTTGTCTCCCCCCCCCCCCCCAAATATGAAATATGCCTCTTAAAAAACAACAAAACTACCCCAAAAAATAATTGTTTTAGTAAGAGTTTTACAGCACTTGCAACACAATAAGGTCATATAAGTGTCGAAGATTAGAATGTTACAAGATAGTAACAGACACAGAAAAGGAGGAGAGATAAGGAGGATAGATGTTTGATAGGAAAGAATGAGCACCCGTCAATCACCCGCTCAAAAAAAATCTGATATTATGAAAAACAAATGGATCTTTGCCCTAAACCCTAAAGTTTGAAGTGCAAAAACAAAACAAATAATAAGACTGTCAGAACAAGACTCATGATCTCACTGAACCTATGATTATAATTTTACATAGCTTCTTACAGCCATACAAACAGGAAACATTTCTTATTTACTATCTGCTACCACAACCAGGGGTAAAATTCTCAGAAGTAAACTCATTAAAAGTAAAGACTGTATATCTACAATAAGCATAAATCCCTAAGAAAATTAATTTAAAAAGCATCCTATGCAATCTAAGGATCATAATTAAACTTGTTGTCAACATGCTATTGAAAACGTGTTGTTTTATTTCTAAAATAGAAGTGCTTTATAGCAATCTCAGCTCTTAATTTTTATACTCAAAGCACTTCACCACTCTGCAACAATATAAATCGACTGCCAAAATGAAAAACTTCACCATACACCATTCGGAAAAGTGATATATGCCGAAATCTTACACTAAGCAGTCGAAATGTCCCGACATTCATTAGTGAGGAAATAATGCTTCACATTCCAAACACAGGCATGACCCTTCCTGCTGTAGTATACAATATTTGTCAGTCAGAGTGTCCATACTTTTCCAGGGGCTGAGCCAGGGTTGAACATGTTCTCAAACTGTTGTGCCGCGTAGCCTTTATTGTCAGAACTGATCATTTGGTTGGTGTTGTTCATACTGGTGCAGTGGACAGCAAACCAGCTGTTAGAGAAAACACAGAAAAAGGGTTAAAAAAAACAGTTTAGTTGTTGTAAATGAGAGTTTTGCGGCATTTGCAACAAAGTAAGGTCATATAAGTACTGAAATTACAGGTGTTACAAGAGAGTAACAAACACAAAAAAGAAGGAGGGGAGATAAGGACAATAGATTTTTTATAGGAAAGAAGGAACAAACCACATCAGAGCACCCGCCAACACTATCAGGGACAAGCTGAAAAAAAGTTTACACTAAGTTGTCATGTAGACAGGCAAAGGCCACATTTTGCCTGAAACTGACTTATATAATAGCAATACTTAAAAAAGTAGACGGACGTGAAAAATCACTTGGTAACATCTACCAAATAATAATAACAACATATTCACATTTATATATCGCTAATGTCACTGTAAGTACAAAAGTAGATCTTAAGCCTTTTGCAAAATTTTTTTATAACCTTGATAAACCCTGTGATATTCTGAAATATTCTCAGCTTCCTGGAAAGCATTCAGTGTGAGCTGCCATTTTACCAGAGCTCAAACACTAACATTCTGACACCATCTGTCTCTGTCCAAGGCGAAGACTCATCCTTTTGTTTTTGTAAGTGTTTTACGGCGCTCGCAACTGCATAAGGTCATATGAGCGCGCAGGACACATTAAACTTTTTCAATTAGTAGGAAATTTGGAATTTTGCCAGGGTGGCGGCCGAAGCCTACTCTTACAGATTTTAGACCACCAAGGGATCTTTAACATGCGCAACTTGAACACGGGCCCTCCGAGATTTTTCGCCCTTGTCCGAGAAGGCTAGGTGTAGATCTTTCCTACCAGAAGATCAGGGGTGTGGCTGAAAGACAGCAGAAAGAAGAAGCCAAGGAGTAGCAGTAGAAAGGCTGTAGAAAGAATCAGGAGCCCAGAGGAGGGGGACAAAGGAGATAGACCCATCCTTACCAGGAGCAGGTGAGAAAAATTTGGTCAAGTAGCTTTTCCAACGCCAAAACACCAGGCTCTGACAAAGGTTCAAACCCACTACCTTCGGGTTTTTAAATGTTATTTTAGTAAGGGGTTTAGAGCACTTGCAACAGACTTATGTCATAAGCACTGAAGATTACAGGTGTCACAAGAGAGTAACAAACCAAAAAAAACAACCAAAAAAAGGAGGAGAAGAAATAAGGACATTAAATGTTTGATAGGAAAGGAGCAAACCACACGAGAGCACCTGCCAAACACTCACAGCTTGTGTTGGTGAATCTGACAAGTCTAACCCACTGTGGGTGCCAGTGCAAATTTCTACATAAAGTACTACCCACACTGGGTCGTTTCTGGTAAAGATAAACCTTTAAGGGAAACTTCCAAATCAACATAAGATTGCTCGATATTACAAAAGCCTTAGACTGGGACCAGAAATACTGTCATGCACTAAAAAATCAGTTGCATTGAAAGTTGATAAAAAACCTAGTCCAATACTTCTGAGATCTAATAAGGAGGAGGAGGGAAGGGAAAAAGAGGGAGGGGAAAAAGAGGGAGGAGAGAGGGAGGGGAAAAGGAAGGAAGAGGAGGGGGAGGTGGGAGAAAAGGAGGAGGAGGAGGAGGAAGCAGATAAAGAGTGACAAGGTGGAGAGGAAAAGGAAGGAAAAGAAGAAAGAAAACTTCACCTGATCATGCCAATGTCCACTCCACTGGAACTGACAATCTTCAGAACAACCATATCTTTGTCCACATTGTGAGTGTACCTGACATGAAGAAAGTTTTAGTTTTAGTAAGAGTTTTACGGCACTTGCAACACAATAAGGTCATAAAAGTGCAAAAGATTAGAGGTGTTACAAGAGAGTAACAAACATAAAAAAGGAGGAGAGATCAGGACGATAAATGTTTGATAGGAAAGAAGGAGCAAACCACACCAGAGCACCCGCCAACCACCCACTGACATGAAGAAATATCCAAGTATTGAGAACAAATACCAACGGCTGAAAAAAACTGAAGACTACAAAGGGAAAACATGGCTGTCACAACAAATATTTTCTGTTTATTCTTTAAGATTTATTAAGTACTTTACGGCACTTACAACACAAATAGGTCATACCAAAGATTTGAGCTGTTACTAGAGAGTAACATACAAAAAAAAGAAGGAGGAGAGATATGGATGACAGATGTTTGATAGGAGCGAACCATATATTAGAGTACCTGCCAACTGCCCACGCACAAAATGTTCACTAACCACTACTCCAGCTCTCACTAAAATGAGAACTGGTGGTAAATCGCCCAAGCTGAGATCATATCTCCACAAAATTGTGCCAGCAGACAACCCAGATCCATCCTGTTGAGCCTGCAAGGAGGAGGACGAGACTATGGATCATGTGTTCCTGAGATGTCCCGCCAACTATCATGCCAGAACTCGTCTGCTGGGTCATTTCAGTAACCCACTTTCAGCACTTTTCAAGGACCCTCGAGCGACTGTTGAGTTCCTGCGAGCTGTCGGCATCGCTGACCGTTTATGACGCCACAGCGCCAGAAGAAAGAGAGAGAGAGAGATCTCTCACTTCTTGAACTTACTTGGCTCGTTCAGCCTCCGGATTGTTCAAGTATGCTGTGGGGCTCCTGTTGATGTTGGACTCAAGAAGCTCCCCTTTGTTCACATAAAGATCAGCTGGCTGCATTGAATCATGAGCCTTCACTATGCTCTGAAATACAAACAAAGACATACATGATGAAAGTAACAAGTGAAACAACAGCACAGTCACTGTTTAAGTGATTTGAGAAATCTGAGTTATTTTGCTTTTTATAGCCCTTGAAACACAATTAGGTCATATAAGTGTGGAAGATGAGAGGAGTGACAAAGAAAGTAACAAATACACATAAAAAAGAGGAGGGACAAAGACAGTAGAGGTTTGATAGGAAAGAAGGTGCAAACGATACCAAAGCACCTGCCAAACACCTACAATTCTTGATTAAATTTTATGGTTTGGAACCTATTTCTTACACACAAGGATACAATACAAAAAATTGTTATCTGTTCATTTCTAGATGACCCCTGCTGATTTCCCCCTTTAAAATGTTATGTAAGTTAAACTGTTGTTCCAATTATGCATTGCAGTGAATAAATTTGTCCCATATAACACTGACGAAATCCAATTCTTGAAGGAACAATAAAAATGCATTTAACAAACTACTACATAGTAATTCAAAGACAGTTTCACACTTACACTGGACTCTTTCAGGATATATACTTTTTATACGATTTCATCTAAATAAAACAGATTCCAACACCTTTATTACTATCAAGAAATCTATTTCAAAAGGCTTTTATGCAAATTCACAATCACTCTCTATTAAAAACATTAAAACCTGATTTTTAATAAACATCTTTTACGCTCTCTTCAACGAAATCTACATAATTTAGAGGCAGAATTCTACTCAGCCCATCAGGGCCAACCGTGGCTGAGAGGAACATAACACCCCACCAGAAAGTCAGAGATACTCTATGAACATTTTCTGCACATGAGAATTGAACTCAGGACTTCTACACGTGATGTTGAAGCACCTAACTGATACACCACAGATGCCGCTTTATGAGCTGAATAACACAAACAAAATTGAAAAAGTGTTTGAAGAGTAAAAAAGATAAACAAGCTAACTTACTTTACTTTTTTCTACTACAGCAACATCAACAAACAACAAAACAAAAAACCCCCCCAGCAGCAACAAGATCATCGATTACTATCTGACAACATAAAATCTGAACATAAACTCACCACAACTATCCCATCAACCAGGGCCTCAAACGTCTGGTGGTTGAAACCCAATGCTGTGATATCAAATAGCAGGTACTGACTATAACCTCCCATGCCAGAGTGGGTGTGTGTCCCACTGATGCACACATTTTTGTCGGTGTAAAGGTTGCCAAATCTTTTTTTGAGCTTCTGCACAACCTGAAAGCCAAACAACCAAAAGAAATTACAGCACTGTTGAATACTTCATCTACTACAACTACTATGATTACTACTACCACAACTACTACTTACTATAATAATAATAGTTAATCCATAATGAGTAAATGACGACCTTTAACACCCAAAGAGGAAAATAAGTTACAGACCTTGCTAGCTACGGCAGGTTGAATTCTACCGTTACCATAATGGCATGTCGAATCAAAATAATAAACGGGTTACAGTCTAAAATTTATTTCAGTAATAATGGGTGCAGTCCATTGATACTAAAAAGGGAATACACTTAATTTATTCATGCATGTTTACTGCCATTATTATGAGTAGGGTGTATGGTTTGAATTTCACACTTCTTTCGACACTGTGCACTGTCAGGTTATTTCAGAGGAGGGAGCACCAGATGTGATGTCCATCTCTGATATGACCAAGCCAAGTGGGCAGAGAGACATGAAAACTTCCCAAACAACCACAATTTGAGAACTACGAAGTTTTAGTTTTAGTTACAGTTTTATGGCATTTGCCACAAAATTAGGTGATATAAGTGCTTTTTCATTTTAGTATGGTTTTACGACTCTCGCAACAGCATAAGGTCATATAAGCGCCAAGGGGTGGATCTCAACAAAGATGTCCAAACGGGGAATCAGGCTTGCTCTGTTCACCTCTCTTGCCTCAACAGTACAAAGTGTACTTTGACTATCAAGGCACCCCGGAAAGAGCAGTTCACAAGAGAGTGGCAAATATACAAAAGAAGTAGAGGAAAAAATTACGATAGTAAGGATGAGGAAAGAAAAAGCAGCAGTTCCCCCTATGTTGTTCTGGCACAGTATGTGCATGACATTGATAAATCAGCCCATTTACAATTCTACTGCGCATAAGAACATGTTGATATCCTCCCTTTAGGAATGGCCTAAAGACACTTCAGTCGGTGGCATAGCCCCTGGGGGGGGGGGGACAATATAAGTGCTGAAGATTAGAGATGTTACAAGAGAGTAACATACGTTAAAAAAAGAAGAAGCAAAAACTACGACAGACGTTTGATCGAAAAAAAAGGAGCAAACCAAGCTAGAGCACCCACCAACCACCCACAAAGTTCAAGTACCCCGGGTTGGGAAGTCTAATCATGGTCATGTAAACCATAATAAAGCAAGATACCAATCAAGCCAACCACTCAAGCCATGAGAGTACTAGCAGAGAACTCTCTGGTACTAGTATGTCACATAATTATAGAGTGCTTTGTGTTTGACTCTGCTAATACGCCAATTTGAGAAGTGACCCGTGACGGAGTCTTACACTGAGCGGTTGATATGTCAAGGTTATTTTGAAAGAGTGGCACTTGAGATTTTGATTTTAGATAAGGAAGAAAGAAAGAAAAAAAGGGAATGACAATGCCCTAAATATACATACACCTAAGACAAGGCATTCGTTATGCTTTAATCTAACACAGAAAGGCTTCCCCTCCTGCTGGTGTTCAAGGAGTGGATGTTACCTCAAACCCAAAGAGAGAAGGAGAAAATGGAAGGAGGTATGGATGCCAGTGAAAGAACTAAACTTTAAAAAAGAACCATAAGAATGAAGTGTAACTTGTAACTACTCCAATGAAGAATGCCTACTCTTCTCAACTCAGACAATACAATAATATCTGCTGCTAAGTGTTAGTCAACTTTGAGCCAGCAAACTAACATGGCTGCAGAGTGCCTGGAACATATAGGAACAATAAACACTTATGAGAAAAAGGAGCAGACAACAGAAAAGAGTCTATCAACCACATGTTTAAAGAAATCAGATAAAGCTGTGCCATATGGTAGTAAATACAGTCTTATGGGTCAGTCCAATATATTATAGTCACGAGCTTTCGTCACAACTGCCCTTAAAGATAAGAATAAAGTAAGTCACCGTTTCAAAGATAAGGGATGGAAGACTCAAGGCCATGACTTATCTTTGCAACCCAACCTTATAGCAAACAAACAACACTAGACAATTTCCGTGGGTTAAGAACAGCTGTTGTATAAAAATGTGACACTCCCCTTTTCAAAGCGTTAAACAAAATAAACTTGTAACTTGAAAATCTTGGGACAAGAGAACAGGACAATTTTATAAGAAGTCCCATGACCAGAATAATAGAATAAGAGACGAAAGAAAGAGCTGTAATCTACTTCAAGGCTTAAACTGAGACCATTTGAGACACGTCGTGGTGGAATCAGGCACTCGTCAATTTTTTAGGCATATGGAGTTATTGGTTTCATCTTAAAGGTTGTCCATTTGCCTTACTTTTGATGAAAAAATATTCATTTATCACGGATATAATTTGAGATATTGGCGATTGAAGGAGGTAGAGGTGGCCTGGTTTCAGAGGACAAAATTAGTGAGAAAATGGTCCCAAAGTTTTGTTATTTCCTTAGCTTGAGAGTGCATGGAAACTTAAAAATTACATCTTTTATTCCTTTAATCAACGT